TTTTTTTTTTTGTCCCCCCCCCCCCCCCCACCACTATTGACTTTCTAGATTATTAGTTAATTCTCAAAAAGAAGAAGATCTGGTATATAAATATTATGAATTTTGAATTTTACAATATAAAACATATTTAGTGAATTTCTTGATCTACACGTAATAGCATGATGCTTATGAAAATATTACGATAGGTTTCATTCATCTGAATAACTAAAAGATAGATCACATATTTCGAGGCTTGCATGTAGATATACTTTAGTTGACCGGATATAATAAAAACAAATTATACAAAATGTATATTACTTAAACTCGATTCTGATTTATTATATGTAAATTTAGCTTATATTTCTAAAATAGGTTTTTTCATGATTTTCGAATCACACACTGATATATTATAACTTTTACAACAAGAAATTTTTATACCATAAAGGTCATCTGTCTTACTTTCAATATTACAACACTATATTTTAAGAAAATTTACATGTATGATTGTACATATTCTTTAGATTATCTAATAATGTAAATTTTTTGAATTTATATTTTTCAAATAAATTTCTTATGTTATGTCTTTAAATTCATGATAATTGAATCACACGATATACGATACAATAACTTTTATTCTTACGTCGAAGCTATACTAATTATTATTATATGATAGGATGGTCAGATAAATCATGATCAACTATGTGATTACCTACATGATCAACAGCTGCAGCCCCAAGATGGAGCACAACTTGAAAGCAAAATTGTTGCACTTTCTTTGTCACCAAGACATGCCCAAAACCATGCCATGCACAAGTGATATATCATTTTGTTAAAAATAAAATGCGTTGATTTTTCATATGGTCAATCAATCAAGTAGTAATTATTATCTTAAATGATTTTTTGAGGTATATAATTATTATGAGTTGTTCAATGATCATTTGAGAAAATCAAAACTCGAAATAAAATTGAGGAAGTTGAAAAGGTGAAAATATTAATTTTCACCATATAGTTAATTAGTTATCTTGTTCGAATCAAAATATATTAGGATAATTAGTATGCTTACTGCAATGGCATACGCAAGATTTCGCTAAACAGTGTTTGTCTATTGTCACAATTTGTATGTGATTTTAAGGTTGTGGTCATGACTTTAAGGTATTTACTTTATATCTTCTTTTTTTAAATATATATTATTAGCTAAATGTTCTTTTCAGTTGGCATATTGTGTATCCATATTATTTTTCTTGAGAAATTATATTTACATGTCTATAAAAAGGAAAATTTTGATGATGCAATATGTTGGAAAAGTATTATTTGATATTCTCAAAATTTAAATTCGAGATTACTAATTAAAAATGGAAGAATCTTTTCGATTTTGCTTGATGATGTGACAGACTGCCTATGTAATTATTTGGTACTCTCCATAAATTTTCCAACTCTCTGATAATTTAAAACATATTTTTAAGTATTCCATATTCGAAATTTACTCTCTCGATTAAGTTTAGATTCATTTTTGAATAGATTCACTAAATGTCAGGACGGAGTTAAAGGTTTATATGAATCCTCTACGTCGGAAAATTATACTTTATATAAGAAGTTAATTGTTTATGTATAAATTGTAGATATTGAATCTCCTTAGCTTTTTCGTATAATTATTTCCTTATATTTTGAGTTTCTTTAGTGAAAATTTTGATTTCGTCATTGACTGTGAAAGAGGGCAACACATTTCTTGCCAAGAGGCTCTCCATTCCAAATTAAAATTTTAAATCCAAATCTTTTATTTGATGACAGAGGGATTTCAACCATTCCACGTACTCGATTAGTCATTTTTCAACTCTCAACATCAAGAAAAATATAGAAAAGAGAGATTATAAGGGGTCACTTGGTACACAAAATGAGATAAGAAAGGATATTCCATAAGATTATTTTATTCCACCTTTTATGTGGGATAAAAGTGGGATAAAATAATCTCGAGATTAGCTAACATCTCAAATCAAATATGAAAAAAGTTAATATCAAGTTACACCCTAAAATTATTGCTCTTATCCCACCTAACAAACCAATCTAAATCATAGCTTGTGCATAGACATAATTGGTCATAGAGGATGCACCTTATTTGGCTTATTTTGAAACACTATGAGAAATATCCAAAGGTATTTACCTTGGAAGGATTTTAAAGCTAGTGATTTATTTATTTTATACTCTTTATCTTTCTACAATACTTTTCCGACTTGATGCCGCCCCTGAATCCACAAGTACCGACTTGAATACCCTTAAGATAAGAGGATGATAAAGAAGCAGTTTTAGTTGTAGGTATGAGTGAGTGAGTGCAGTGAAGGACTCTCGCCTCCCCCACCCATTTGAATTATGACATTATCGACTTGCTTAAAAAGACCTCTCTTTTGAAATCAGTCCCGTCCCTAGATGTAGTATATTGAAACTTGAGTGGACTCTATATGCTAAAGTGGATGGAGAAACATTTTGGGTAAATACTTGTCTTTATTGCGATTGTTGAGTGTACGAACAAATTCTTAGTTGGTTGTAGGAAACATATATTTTTCTATAGCGGTGTGACAATTAATAGACATAATACATAAATATGTACTTTAACTTGACATCAGCTTACATTTATGTCCTCCAACTTTGGATGTGCAAAAATAGACACTTAAATTTGTATAAAGTTGAACAAATAGACACACACATCCTTGTATAAAGTTGAACTTGGATGGCAATTTGCGTGCTACGTAATGTCCTGCGTGTATTATGTCACGTAAGACTCATGTGTCTACTTGTTCAACTTTATACAAGTTTAAGTGCATCTACTTATGCACACCCAAAATTAGAAGGCATATATGTGAAATGAGATCAAATTAAAAAGCACATTTATATATTATGTCCAATTAATACTCCCTCCGTCCACAATTGTTTGTCACGGTAAGGTCATGCACATCCCTCAAGGAAAATTTAATACAAGGTGTAATTTGACTAATATAACCCTACTATACCAAGAATACCAAAAGTCCACATAATTTTTCAATTGAACTACACTATCATTAAGGGCAGAATTGGAAAAAATTGACTAATTATTTCTTGATTGTTTAAATTGACAATTAATCTTGGACATCTATTTTTAGTATACCTGCCAAACAATTGT